CGAGTGTCCACCAGAGTGCTAGCTGGTCCGAAATCCCGAAATCCCGAAAATGAAGGATACCATCAACATAGGCCTTTTTGCGGTGAAAAGTCCGGAAAAAGCGCCAACCACCAAAACCTGCTATTGACCAAGGATGCCAAATCATTATCGATTTTTCGGCATGTCTAAAAAGTGCGCACTGTTCTTCACACATTCCCCTCACATCCGATGACGAACTGGTGTGCCAAAGTCGAAAATTTCCAACACAGTTTGTTCACGTTTCGTAAAGAATCTTTTCAATCAAATTCAATAAGTTTCAGCAGACTGGGCGGGCAATTTTACCCCAGTGTGACTAAATTCATAGTGGGAGCCTGGTATTTCAGATAGCTAGGGCGTTGGCTGTAGTAAAGCCATCCCCATGCTGGCATGGTTTTGAATTCCCCTGACGCGGTCTAATTTCCTCAAAGTGGGACACATGACATACTGAACTATACCAACTCCCCACCTCCCCGAAAATTATATGTGTATTCGTTTGTAGCTGTAAGTCTTATACTTTTCAGAGTAATTGTCAAACAACATTTAAGTGTTCTAGCATGACGGTTTAGGTTAAATTTGGTGCTCGAAAATTAAGCTAGCCAGCTATAAGCATTATAAGAGGACTCTTAAGTAGTTGCAAGTTTGAGCTATTTGCAGGTAGTTGTTTTCCCCTTCAGGTACCCCAGATCGATCGTATCAGAAAATTGAACAAAACTGGTGGACAATAGGCGATCGGCACTCGTAAAAACAGTAATTGATAAAATAAATGTCTAAAATGATCAAACTGAAAACAGTGGCATAAAGACAACATGCAGCTGCCTTCGCTTTTCAAATTTCAAACCAACTATTGACCAACTTGAGGCATTGGTGTTCCTGAGACTTTGCATGACTCTCTCAGATTGTCTTATATTTGCCATATTTCCAACCAGGATCGGAGTTGCGAGTTGAAAGCTGTCAAACAACTCCTGTGCCCGTTTTAGCACTTCCTCTGTTACGAAGGGTGAGCCTCGGATGCAGCGCACCAACAGCATATTCAACGATTCGTTGAAGTCACACAGCAGCTGCACCTGATAAAAGAACGATTCAAGAGGAGCACGTGTAAATCACTTGAACAACGTTTACTTTGAAATGTTGTCATAGTTCTTGTTAGGAAACCTTTTATGAACCACTATTTTAAGCGTTAGACCACTCTTCATCGATACAGGTGAAAGAGAAATCAAAACTAACCTTGCACAATATTCTTCAAGGTTTTACAATATAAAACACTCCTCTTAACAAGCGTTATGAAAAAAACGTTTGCTTGTGATCCACCCCCGTAGAATACGTTTTTTGACAGAAGATATTTCCATTTACAATGCACTAAGAATTTAATAAATCATTAATCTATTGACTTTCAGAGAATCTTCCAAGCCAGTAACCAAGAAACGATGTTTAACTCCATGATCTACGTTTTCCATTTAGTTTTTGTATTTGTCCATAACTTACTTTTCCCGAAAAGGATTAAAAATTAACCAAATTTTTATAAGACTTCTTTAAGTATTACACTTTCTGTAATCGTATAATCAAAAAGATGTAAAAATTGAACTTTTGCGTAGGTTTTTACTTATTTTGAAGACGTAGAAACAACTTAGTAGGAAATATTATGCGTATATAGGCAGATCTTGTTTTCTGAGCCAAGGGACCCAGATACTCATAAAGTACTGAAGTATATCTGGGCCAGTTTTCATGCCTTCTAGTAGACATAAGAAACCTGCTAATTTTAAACTTACATCTTCTTCATCCTAGTGTGTTAAGAGGATTTCAATTCGTAAATTATTTCGGATTTAAATGTTTTATCCCCTGAAGGAACACGTTCCGTTGAAAGTAAAGCATAAAGTGGATTTTATGTTTCTTAAGCACAACTACTCTAGAATAAAGGCGTAAATCGACACAGTTGCTGTGCGTGAGATCTTAGAGAAAATGAATTGGATGACCCACCTGAAAAAGACAGGTCATAGGCATATTTAAAATCAAACAGTTTCGAATAAAAATATGTTGACGCAATAATTACTTCAAATAAATTGATATTCGCGAAATTAGTCCGACACTTACTTGATTAAGGGAACTAGGGCAAAAATGACGGCATCCTTAGAGTGTCCTTAGCCAAGCGCCGCAAAGCCAATTTTTTTAACTTATCTCTATGACACATTGAACAATATTTGGCCCTAGTTACTTTATTGGACCCTTTCCTTCCATATATGCAATGGCAAAAATAGCTTATTTAGCCCACGTCCTTAATCTATACTTCCAGCATGTTGTCCTAAGAAAACGGTGTTTATAGGGTTGTGTGGGTGAGGAATTAGGATACGCAGTGAAATATACCTTAATGACTACCGTATGCATTTCAATTTTATTGTATTTAGAAGTCTTGTTAGGTTATATCTGTAGATTCTCCTAATCTT